TGGCTTTATATTATAAGAAAATGTAATAATAATATAAAGCCAGTTATACAGAATTGGCTGTAGCTGTGCCACACTGTGTTCTGGTCTGCAGTCTGGACATGTGCTCATCTATTTTGACCACTAGGGTGATACAAGCCTTAGTTAGCAATGGCATGATAAATATTCATTTCATTATTCAATGTCTTTTTTTTAATATTATGTTATAATATAAAAAAAAGACATTGAATAATGAAATGAATATTTATCATGCCATTGCTAACTAAGGCTTGTATCCCCCTAGTGGTCAAAATAGATGAGCACATGTCCAGACTCCAGAACAGTGTATTATTGTATAGTGTGGAACAGCTGTAGCCAATTCTGCATACCTGGCTTTATATTATAAAGTTTTTATAATATAAAGCCAGGTATGCAGAATTGGATATAGCTGTGCCACACTACAGAGTGTTCATGTTCTTCATAATATTAAGTAACTGACCTAAAATCATGATTTTGTATTGCTTTAGAAAAAATGTGACCTGATCTGTGAGCTGTATGACGGGGGCAAACCCGCCCACAACCAGGGTCCAGGAAGACCCCCCACAACCAGGGTCCAGGAAGCCCCCACTGACCACCAGGCTAAGGTAAGGTGACTTTTATTTTATGTTCCCGGGGACATTTAAAAAAATCTTTTTTTTCTTCTTCTAATACTCACCTGATTCCTGGAAATCCCTACAAAATACTTATTTATAAGTAATCCAAATGAAGGCTGCAAGACACAGCTTATCCCCAACCAGATATAGCTATTCAAATGATCTTAACCACACCAATGATGATACACTATCAAATATATAATGAGGATGATTTACTAAAGGAGTCGAGAATGTTCACAGAATAGATTGTTTGAATATATATTTCAACTATCCAAATCATGTGGGGATTAAATAATTAAACAGGGATTTTCTTTTCATTGATGGATACTTGCAGTGAATCTTCCTACAATGCATTGTGTGAACATTCTCAACAACATTAGAAAAAAATCAGCCTGAATATGCAGTCACCTTTTTTCAAACGAAAAAAGCTTTTACAGTAAGTACAAAAAATAGGATTTTGTTATTACAATAAAATCCTTTTCTCAGTGTACTATTTCTGTGTTTGCAGATGACACCAAAATTATGTAGTGGAATACAGTCCTTACATGATGTCTCCAACTTACAAGCAGATCTGAATGCACTGTGTGATTGGGCATCTATTTGGCAAATGAGGTTTAATGTTAACAAATGTAAAGTTATGCACTTGGGGACTAAAAACATGCATGTGTCATACACTCTAGGGGGAGTAAATGATGGAGAAAGATCTGGCTGTTCTGGTAGATCATAGACTCAATAATAGCATGCAATGTCAAGCCGTAGTTTCTAAAGCAAGCAAAATACTTTCTTGTATTATACGGGGTGTAGACTCCAGAGAGAGAGATACATAATCCTGCCCCTGTACAAAGCATTAGTAAGACCTCATCTGGAATATGCAGTTTCGTTTTGGGTACCAGGTCACAAAAAGGATGTTGAGGAACTGGAGAAAGTGCAGAGAAGGGCGACTAAACTCATAAGAGGCATGGAGGAGCTCAGCTATG